CTCATAACTCGTCTGGGGGCTGGGGAGACGCCTCAGTGGGTGAAGGGTCTGCTGTACGGGCACAAGGACCTGAGTTCGGATCCCCAGCTCCCATGTGAAAACCTGGGCATGGCACTGTGATCCCAGAGAGCGGTGGCGAGTCAGTGAGCTCTAGGTTCTGTGAGAGACCTTGTCTCATAAAAAAAAAGGGTCGAGTGATTGGGAAAGACACCAGACATCAACCTCTGGCCTCCACATGCACACACATATGTGTGTGCACACATGCATGTAACACACATGCACACACATACAGGCACACTCATACCTAAATATCTGCCTTTATATATATCTCATATGTTATCTATGTGTCTATCACCCCATCTGTTTGTCAATCATTTATTTTTCTATCTAACAACCTATCTTCTATCCCCCTATTACCTGTGTATCCTATCTGTCGTCTGTTACCATCATCTATCTATCCCTCTACCCATCTACCCATCCATTCATCCATCCATCCTCCTCCACCCATTCATCTATCCATCCATCCACACACCCACCCATCCATCTATCTGTCCATCCACACATCCATCTACCCACCCATCCACCAATCCATCCATCCACTCACCCATCAGCCATCCATTCATCCATCCATCCATCTGTCCCCATCCACCCACCCATCCATCCCCATCCACCTATCATCTGTCTCTATCATTTGTCTCCCCGAACATCACAGTATGAACCCTATCACCTCAGACCAGACCCACACAACCCTCATCCCACATTTCCTAGATGTCCATCTCACACATTTTCATTTTAACCTTCAGAATTTCAAATACAATGAAAGTATACTTAAAAAGAAACTGACAAAAGTCACAAAATCAGAATTTCTCCAAGGCCTTTTTTCCCTCTCCTTTCTCAAAGAGAAAAATAAAACAACACCACCCTCCCCAAGGCAGCAACTCCATGGTTAAGATGTTTCTCATCAAATCTCACATAAGACAAAGGCAAAAAGCCCTGGCAGTCCACAAGACACAACCACTGACTGAACCCTGCAGGCTGCTGGGGAATGGAAGACAGCCAGCTAATCAGCAAATGCTCATTAAAGCCGCCACTTGTCTCGATGTCCAATCAACGCCCCAGTCCCCTCCCTCCAGGCAGAATCCAGCACTGATCACCACTGCTGACTGGTGGAGGGCTGCTTTGCAGGACAGAGCCCCAGAGGCCACGCGTGGGGTGTGAGCCCTAGGCAGACAAGGGGGCATGGCTGACCAGATAAACAGGCAAGCAAAACAAGGGGGGAGGGAGAGGGGAGGGAGAGGGAAGGGAGAGGGGAGGGAGAGAGGAGGGAGAGGGGAGGGAGAGGGGAGGGAGGGAAGGAGAGGAAGGGAGGGGGAGGCTGTAAAGAAAGGCTAGGACAAGAGGATGAGGCAGGTACAGTGTGGGAGAAGCATTCAGGGATGGGCAGTGGGTAGGTCCCCCAATCACAAGGAGATGTGAATCAGTGACACATGTACACACTTACACACATGCACAGAGTCAAATACGGCCCAAAGATGCACTCACTCACACTATACACCACACATAAACACACAGACACAGACAGACAGACACACCATATAAACATATACATACAAACATACAAGCACACCACACATACCCAAATACACACACACAGACACACACACACACACACACACACACACACACACACACACACACACACACACACACACACAAACATACATCATTCTGCTGAAATAGAGAAAAGGGGTGGATACTAACTCTCACCTGACATGGATGCCTGGGACCACATGTGGACCCTCTGTAAGAGCAGTAAGCGCTCTTAATCACCAAGTCTTAACCCCAGTTCCCACCACAGTTTTTACGACAGTCAGCCTGCTGGGTTGTCTAAAGATGAGATCCTTAGCAACAGAAGAGAAAACTTGTCTAATTTCGTGTCAGGTCCCAAGAGCCTGCCCAGGGCACAAGCCACAAGATTTGACATAATGAACAGCATGTCCTCCGTGAACACAAGGACATGCGATCCCGCCCAGGACCCTTACAATATGCCAGCTGCACCAGACACAGACTCGTGAGAACTCCTCTAAGGAGATACAGGGCCTTGAAACAAAGGCAAGGTGACTGGTGGTGGGAAGTGTGTCCCAGATCTGCGGGGGTTGGGCCCGCCAGCCCAGGATGGGATCCATTGCTCGGGTATGGGAGCTGGTGGACCGGTCTAGTCAGTAAAGTGCTGCTGCAGACCTGAGTTCACGTTCCTACAACCCACGTGAAATCTGGGCATGGTTGCAATCCCAGCACTGGGAAGAAGGAGACAGGAGGATACCTGGGACTCCCAGGACACCTAGCCTAGTCTACTTGATTAGCTCTAGGCCAGAGAGACTCTCAGAAAACAAGGTGGGCAGCACCTGAGGAATCACACCAGAGGTTGACCCCTGACCTTACACCCCTGTGCACAGAGGTGCAGGAACATACACTCACACCTACACACACTCCAACTACACACACACACACACACACACACACACACACACACACACACCTACACACTCACAATGCATACACGCACCTACACACATCCACATGCCCACCTACAAATACAAATTTGCACCACACACCTGCACACCCTCACACACTCAATGTATACACTCACATCTACACACATCAGCACCTACACATACAAAAACAAATACCTACAAACACACCCACTCACACCTGCACTTACACAGACACAGACACACACACACACACCTCTACACTCATACCTATATACATTTAGTATATACACTGGCACATACACAGATACACACTCACAGACACCTGCACACTCTTACACCTACACACAGATGCGCACACACAAAAGAACAGGGAAAAAAGAAACAAGCCCATTGTTCACGGTGTTTCTAGATAACGAGATGTGGACTCCGCCCTAACCTACAGATTTACTCTGATGGATTCTTAACGTGCTGGTATTACTGGGAGAAGGGAACTGTCTGGGAAAAGTGGGTCTCTAGGGCCACCTTGCAGTCCTCCCACCCCACCCCATCTCCACCTGTCTCTTCCAGGCTACGGAGAGCACAGAGAAGCCTTCACCCTAGCTCCTGCCACTGCGGCGTTCTGTCCAAGAGCACAAGCAGCCACGGCATGGAGCCTCTACTCCCACCAACCGAAATAAGACCTCCCCCTTCAAGGTGGGTTACGCCAGACATTTGGTTATAATGACAGATAAGATGTGTGACATCCCCCAAAAGTAACAGGACCTGGGGTGGCAGCGGGAGCCACTAGGAAGGACAACATGCCCATAGGAAAGAGAGAAGAAGGGGTCAGGGTAGAGGGGATCCGGCACTGAACAGCTGAGGGACTCAGAGAAGAACAGGAGGGCAGAGAGGGAGTCCCCCACCCCACCCACCCCCAGCCAGTACAAGACTGCCGGGTCCATCCTGGGGGCGTTGTCTAACAAGGTTCTTGGAATCTTTGCAAAGACTGGCTACATAGTGGCTGTCCTAGTTAGCTTTAACTGCCAACCTGACGCAGCCTAGAGTCCCCTGGGGGAGTCTCAGTTGAGGGATTGCTTAGATTAGATTGGTCCGCGGGCAAGCCTTTGTGGCCCTGTCTTGATTGTTAATTGATGTAGGAGGGCAGTGCCTTTCCCTGGGCAGTGGTCCTGAGTTGTAGAAATAGCTTAGCTGAGCACAAGCCAGAGAGAGAGCCTGCAAGCAGTGTTCCTCCAGGGTTTCTGCTTCAAGTTCCTGCTTTGACAGCCCTTAGTGATGAACCGTGGCCTAGAGGTATCAGCAAAATAAATAATTTTCCTCCTCTAAGTTGCTTTTGGTCAGACAGTTTATCACAGCAACAGAATGAAAAGAACACTCCCCAAACCCATCTCCATTTGCTAAGCACAAGCTCACATTCCCCAGCTTCTGTGACTGACTTCTAACCAACATACACTTTTTCTTGTAGTGCTGGAGATCAAACCCAGGACCTCATAGAAGGCAAGAGCTCTATCACAGCCCCATCCACTGGAGTATGAACAGAGGAGTCAAGGTCCAAGTCCTTTTCAGCCTCACAAACTATCCCAGTATCCCCCATGTTCATTTACCATCTGTGGTTTATTGTTAACAGACTCCAAATTGGGGAAAACTGCAGTTTGACACTAAAGAGCCACAATATGGCAAGGGCTCTAGGCTGTCAATCATTTGGGGAGACAAGAGTGCCAAACAGAAAGCACCATTTTCGACTTTTTTATTTTTTTAGACAGGGTTTCTCTGTGTAGCTTTGCACCTTTCCTGGAACTCACTTGATAGCCCAGGCCTCGAACTCACAGAGATCCACCTGGCTCTGCCTCCAGAGTGCTGGGATTAAAGGCGTGTGCCACCACCCGGCCCATTTTTGACTTTCAATGAGTGGCAAACTTCCATTAAGTTGAAGTCATTCTTAGTTTGGAACCATTTGTTGTAGCAGCCAGTGTGGGAAGCGTATATACATTTGCTTTTCAACCACAGCCCATTCCTTGTATCCACATCTGAAAACCCCTTAAAGAAATGAGCAAAACCTATCAAAGTCCAAACCATAAGTTCACGCCACCAGAAACCCTCAGCACACAGTCACCACCATGAAATAAAGGTACCACGTTTCCAAGTAAAGGATGAAATTCACTAATGAGGAGCTCTCAGACACCTTGGTTTGTGGGTTTAAATCCCAGCCCCACTGCTTAGCAGCTGGAGCTTTATCCTTCTTGAGCGGGGGGGTTGGGAATGGGGGCATCTTCTGCCACACTGGGTTATGCTGAGGACAAGACGGTCATGTGCATGAGGCACCGTAGAAGCTGCCAGCTACAGCAGGTCATTGTTTCAGCTCCATCAGACAGCACTCATTACGAGAGACGGTGGAGACACAGAGGTGGTGGGAAGAAGACAGATGTGCACGAAAGGACACTGGGCACAGGTCTCCAGCCTGGGCCACCTTGGGGAGAACATGCTATAGAATGTGATGCAGTCACCTACCCTGTTAGCACCACGACAAAGTCCATGACATTCCAGCCATTCCTCAGGTAGGAGCCTTTGTGGAAGGCAAAGCCGAGAGCCACGATCTTAATTCCAGCCTCGAAACAGAAGATTCCGATGAAGTATGGTTCCGTGTCATCCTGGAAGGGGGAGAAGGCATCAGTGGCGTGGGTGGTGGAGAGTGGCATGACCCCAAGGCAGCATACCCAGAGATGTGGACCCACCTGCCCCTCCCAACAGGCCGGTGACCAAAGGCTGAGACCTCTGGAACTAAGCCAAAAGGAACACAGTCCAGAAGTTGAGCTGCCTCAGACACTGTGACCCAGTGACAGAACTCTTAGAACAACCCACTGCCTGGGGTAGGAATCCTGCATGCCCACCCTTAGAGACGTGGGTGCTGCCTTGGTTGAGACTTTGGACGCCAAGAGGGCCCAGCCCAGCAGTCACACCTGGTCTAGAATCCACCAGTGAGAAGCCGACAGTGTGGCTACAGGAGCAGAGCTTTTGCCTAGAAGCCCCTCCTGGGGGCAGGGCCACGGCTCAGTCAGAGGCTCAGAGAGCTACCACAGCATGTGCGAGGCAGCCAACGGGTACTAAGTAAACAAACCGAGTCTGCTTCTGGCTCCTGGGAGCACAAAACAGCCCTAAGATGGCAGAGTCGAGACAGTGAACTCGGCACCGATGGGTGCCGAGGCACTGCCAGCACCGAAGCGTTATCACGGCACCCGAGTGCCTGCCTTTCCAGTCATGTAGACCCCAGGCTGTGGCGCTCAGCTCTGGATGAGTCCCAGAACACTTCTGTCAAGGAAGCTGAGCACAGAGGGAAACAAGGGCGTGACTGGGTCCTCAGTGACTGATCTGAGGAGTGGGTTCTCAGTGGCTAGCTGCCCTCTTCTGGGTTTACGTAGAGTCACACTTCTTTTTTCATGAAAATTGTGTTTCTGAGCATAAAACAGAAAGTAGAATTTGGACCGAGTACGAAGTCCTCGTGGACAGTGTGATGGTCACTGTGGCCTGGTGTACACCAGGTCTGCTGGGTTTCAAGGATGGGCCTGGGCAGTGAGGGCTTCCATGTCCACAGGCCACTGATGATTCTGCAAGGCAGGCCTTCTCCACACAGCTCTCAGCCCAGGGACCCAGACCCCTCCACCCATTGCTCACCAGTCGCTCAGACATGGGCGTCTTGTCGTCATCAGGGAGGTGCTGCTCCAGGGCCAGGACGATGCAGTTGGCAATGATGGTGGCCAGGATCATGTACTCGAAGGGAGTGTGAGGGTTAAGGAGCAGACACAGTGGCTTTGTGCCTAGCATCCTGTCCTCTCCCAGCAACCCGGCCCAACACCCTTAGTCCACCCCTTGTGTCCCTCAGCCCATCACACCCCTACCACATCCACGCACACAGCCACCTGCCTCATCTGTCTGGAGAGCACCCTGCGGTTCCCGGCCCTGCACCTGTGACTTTAAAAAGAATGTTCCTATTAGCAGGTACTAGGTACACACAGGGGTCACATTCGGGCCCCTTCCCCTCTCTGTCCCCTCCCACCTAGTCCCCCAGTCCCTCTTCCGGTTTCTTTTCTTTCTTCTCAATGAGTTTAAGGCTGCTCACAGGCAGTGACTTCACCCCTGGAGAAAATGTCACCCCAACTAACTGCTCATAAACCCTCAGGAAAGGATGAAGCTTTAAGATGGCCTCTTTCCTCCACGAAACGGTGCCGACAGGCCCAGTCTTGTGCAGGTACTCACAGCTGCCTTGAGTTCAAGTCCACAGCATGCCACACCCCACCCATCCTTTCATTCTCTGTATCCACCCCGCACGCAGCACATCACTACAGATGCTGTGGCTCTGTGACGGCTGCAGCACACACGGCATCCCCAGCAACCACCGCAGGACCAAAGGCGGAAGAGAGCAAAGTTCCCGGACTCACAGAGACACACAGACCACACCAGACAGTGCCACGGTGCGGGGAGCATGGCCCTCTGCATGAGTGTGCCAGCATCCAGGAATCCAACCGGCCGGAGATGAAAAGTATTCAGAGAGAAAAGTGTGTCAGGCTGAGCGCTTATGTACAGACCCTGAACAACCCACTGCAGCAGCTAATGAGAAGCGAGCCTCCACGTCAGGTCCATGTCACCCAGAGATGAGCTGGCATCTCTGGGAGGAGGTGTGCAGGTCTGGTAGGCAGGGCTTGAATGTCTGCAGGTTTGGGTATTCCTGGGGTCCAGGAACTGACCCACTGTGAACACAGAAGGATGACAACGGGTCACACCTATAGTAAGATGGCAAATGCTATGGAGAAGAGGCAGGAAAGAGACTCAGGAAACACAGTGGCCAGGCTCTGGGAGATGGCGCACTCTGTAAAATGCCTGCCGTGAAAGCACACGGATCCCAGCTGAAGGCCCAGCATCCCCGTGACGATGGGTGTAACAGTGCACATCTGAACCCAGTACCGGGGAGCTGGGTGTGGATACCAGTGCCCATCTGAACCCAGTACCGGGGAGCTGGGTGTGGATACCATTGCCCATCTGAAACCCAGCACCCCCGTGACGATGGGTATACCAGTGTGCATCTGAAACCCAGCACTGGGGAGCTGGGTGTGGATACCAGTGCACATCTGAACCCAGCACTGGGGAGCTGGGTGTGGTTCCCAGAGCTTACCAGCAATCTATCTGCAACAGGGGACTCGAGGTTTACCGAGATACTCTGTCTCAAAACTCAGGTGCAGAGAGATTGAAAACGGTGCCTGGCGCTGACCTTGCAGACCTCTAACTTCTGTGTGCACACACCCACACACGTAAAAACTCTCTCTCTCTCTCTCTCTCTCTCTCTCTCTCTCTCTCTCTCTC